TTTCCTCCTACCAGTCTGAGCAGTCCTTTTGGCTGGAGGTACTACATTACTGCTGGTTCTGATCAGCAGTACGTTACAACCTCACTAAGATCAGGTAGCAGCTTCACCTAACACTGAGATCCAGTGCTCTGGACCATGCCTCTCCCTATGCATGGGCTCTAGGGAACACTGATATCTGTCTACGGCACAGCACTTTTTTTCCAGATTAATTTAGAGGCCGAACCAATAAGCCACACAGTCCTGCATTCTCCACCCAGAGCTCACACACAGGCTTGCCCACACAAAGAGGAAGGAGGGGCTGGGCAGTAAGATTCACATGCTTAAAGACACGTTTTCTTCTTTACTTTCAAGGAATTACGCAGTGCATCACTATGATTCTAAGGAGAATTTGGCAATCGGCACCTCAAATTGGTGTACCAACAGCATAATAAAACAGATTCACCTTTTAACTAATTCTGACATTGAAAAGATTTAATGATATCATTATTAGAAAGCAAGGGGAAAAAAGGAAGTGACTTCTCTTATTTTTGCCTTCCCAGGAGTTGAACCTTTCATTCCAGGACCTGGGTGATCTTTACCAGGTGGAAAACTTCAAAAGGATTCTTAAAAGATTAATTCGGGTGGAAAAACTTTGGTTGGTGGACAATTCTTTGACGGACCTAAGTGCCATCAGGTTGCCAAGGTAGTCAAAATGTCCTGTTTCTATTTTTTATGCAATATCATTGAAATCAAAGCTATTATTTACTTCAGTAATAGCTGGAGCAAACTCTTGAGAACTGCTGAGATATGATATTTTGGGGGGGATTATATTGAGAATCCATCCGTATCTTGCTATTCTGAGTTCATGTCATTCCCAAGTTGAAAATACTCAGTGAGGAGGTCAGGTGATGTTTCCTTTATTCCTGGTGGATAATTCATGAGTCTCATCAAATTCAGTGATACTTTTGCTAAACGGGAAAGTTGTTGAAAACCAAAGGAATGTATATGAGGAGATGGTGGAACGTCACCCAAGCAGAGAGGCCAGATGTGACCATGACAACTATATTTTTACAATCCATCTATTGCTACTGTGTTGTCGTATGTTTGGGTAAATGGAAGGTTGTAATATTGAGAACAACAATAATGATATATCCTTTGTACAATATAAAGAAAGCTGAGAGTATAAAGTGTAGGGATTTGATCTTGCGGTCTATGGGTAGGCAAAAGTAACACAAATGTAAAACTAGCATGAAAGCAGGTCTCGAGGATTCAAATTCTTGTATCTCTCATTGGAAGCCCTTAGTTGCCATGGCTTCAACTACATGAAGAGCCATCCCTATGTCAGCTTACATGTGTATAATATTACAGATGTGATCAGTGATGCCATATGCTTTATGCTTTACAGATGCAGAGAACTAAATGTCAATAAAAACCACTTTACATCCTTCAAACAGCTGCCAAAGATACCTCAGATTCAGCATTTATCACTTGCTGAAAATAACATTATGACACTAAGTGGAATATCAGACTTCAGACATACTCCACTTGAATCCCTTATACTCAAGAGGAATCCCTGTGAATTTCAAGAAAGATACAGACAACTGTAAGTCTTACCATCTCATAGCCAACAAAAGTTGAACAATACAAAGAAATGATTGTGAGAGAGTTCAAAAGGAATAGGAACTCAAATGCAACAAGCTCTCCCAAGCAATCTTTTTCTTTTCCCATAGTCTCAACTATCATAAATGCTCCAGGAACATGGGCTGGTGAGCCAGTATCTGATAATAGCCACAAAATATTCAGAAACTGCCTAGGAGGCTTTCTAATCACATGACTGGCAGTTCTTGAACTGAGCTAAGTCCATGGATCAAGTTTAGAGACCGTGAGTAGGGCAGATAAATTAGATTCCCTTTTATTAATAGAAACTACCTATTACTCAAACTCTCTTCAGTCTCATTGCATCCCTCGTGTATTCTGAAAGGAGTCTAAATTGCATTACATGTCAGAGATGGGATCAGAAGGATGTGTTGAAAGATGGGAGCTAAAGCAAGAGGAAACTAAGTTACCTTCATTTGATTTTTCTGGATTCTATCTTCTGTTGTAGCACTGTGGAAATTGCACTGCCTTGAACACCCCGCTCGGCGTAGGTATATGTTGCAGGCAGTGCAGTATAGTGTAGACTTAACAGAGCTGCTTTCGACACTGGAAATGAAAATTCAAATCCAAAATAGAGTATATTCAGGGGAATATAATTTAAATCTCATGCATGTTTTGACACTCCCACCCCTATCCTGTTCTTCCCCAGTTGCTTTGATCCCAAAACTCTCTTGCCAGGAAAAAAAAAATTGCACACAGGTCAGAAAGGGGAATGAAGCATGTTCCTTCTGAACTCCTCAGAAATCTGCATGGTTGCGTGTTTTTCCCCACTACAAACACAGAGTCATAAACCTTATGTTTCATCTCTTCCTGGGAGGGGAAAAAAAAGACAAGTTTTAAAGAAAGTGTTTAATGAAAACCTTTCTGAGTTTCCAATAGGTTTTTTTCTTTCAGTCTAGTAGCATCCCTTTGACAGTGTGATGGTGATGCTTGTGCTTTCTAATGGAAGACAGGCAGATATCAAAGTGAAAGGTAAAAAGTAAATTGAAAATAATGGATTTCACATTTTCTTTACATATCAAAAGGTCCAGGAGAAGAAAAGCTGAAAAGCACTTTTTAACAATTACTGATTATGTTTCTGCTCCCAATCCTACCAGTTCTTAAGGGAATTAAATATAGATAACTCTGGTATTACTTTTACTGCCAGTGTTGGAAGACAGAATGAAGCATTTTCATGCTGAGTTGCACGCTGTGATTGAGCACTGGAGTCCACGCTCACCTCAAAAGGCAGAGGAGCAAATACCATAGCATGTGGGTTAACACCCAGTGCGATGCTTATATGGGGGACTACGGCTCCATCAGCAGTTTTCATGACTGAGGTTAGAGACACTGATGTGTTGTTTAAAAGGGACAGTATATTAGGAGGTAGAGGCGTTCATTTCGATTTGGCATCGCAGAATCATAGAATCATTTATGTTGGCATGCCCACAAAAAAAAAAAAGGGACATTCCCTGCACAGAATTGCGAAAAGGTTTGCAGAGAGCCCTGTCACAGAAGTATAAAAGTTGAGTTGCAGTTCTTGCAGTCTGAATCTTCGCTTTTTAGCAGTCTAGGAAATTCAGTCCAGGCTAACACTGTGTCCTGTCTTTTGTATTAGACAACTGGTTTGGTTCTACTTTATTAAAAATGTAGATACTTGCAGTGTTTTACTGAGTCTGAGGATATCAAAATTGTGCAACAGAGTGAAACCTGAAAATGTTTAATTAGCTTTTCATCAGATAAATTCTGCAGCACATGACTAATCAAGATTTCCAACAATACAAATATATTTTGATACGTTTGAATCCACTGATTGTTTTTTATAAGTGTCTATTTTGTTCTCAGCATTTCCTTAGATTATTTCTCTCAATTTCTATTTTTTCTTTTGTCTCTCTTTAAGTGTATTCTCCAGTTTGCCAAATCTGAAAATGCTGGATGGTATCCCAAAACTGCCTGAGGACTGCTCACCCCCAGATATCAGTTTTTTTTTCAAAATGTGTACTATACTCTAGCACTGTATTTTTGTAGGATCACAGCTGTGCTAGAATCACCCCATTTAAAAGGTACAATAGAACCTGTGTATGGAAGTCACTCTTTTTTTTCTGATCAGAGATACTAAAGCAGAAATACAATTTTTTAATGCATTTGTGATACCACAGACTTCAAGTGAGTATGGATAAATGACATGTAAATAAGACATAATGTGTATACTGAGTGTCATGAGTTTGGTGTATTAAAAATACTGCATGACTTTCTTGTCTAGGAACTCTATGTAGACAACAACTTGCAATTATTGAATCTCACTGCATTTACTTCAAACATGTCCAAGTTCAGACCACATGTCCATTGTAGGAAATGGTACATTCCTACAATGGGATTAACATTCAGGCTGCAAAGAAAAGGAAAAAGAAAAAAAAACAAACCCTGAATGAAAGAACAGGCTATGCATATCCTTCTCTGTGTCCCACCAATGTCGTAGTGCTCTTTAATGCACTTTGTAGCTGGGAAAGGCGGAGCTACCCCAATCATTTTGACCCTTAGAAATAAAAACATAATGCAAAACGTCTTTGCTTGGGAGTTTGGTGTGGCTAGAGACCACTTCATGAAAAAGGAAAGAAATCTTTTGGCTCATTGCTGGCATTGTTTGGGAATGTCTTGTTGCTTAATAGAGGTTCCTCAAACCAAAGCCACAATGAGGGGAAAGAGCTGTGGATGCTGAAAAGGGATTTGTAAGGGCTCCCCAGGATATCTGAATGCAATTATCTTTGAGAGGTATCTGTCCTTGTCTTTGATTCATTTGCTGTTCAATTGTAGCTTTTTTTTTTCCCAGGCAGCTCATGCTGGCACACAAATAGCTGTGCCACTAATGGCTCAGGAAAAGAATGACAGAGTCCTGGAAAATGAAGACAATTAACAGAATTGCCTAATTCCAGAGACAGTCAATAAATTCTCTGCTGTGTATTGGCTGCGGGCTCGGTTTGGTTCAGTTACATGGGGAGGAGAAATGACTGCTCAGCCCTGTAGAACTCTGCAGTGCAATGACTTATCTGCCGAGAGGTCGCAGCAGCTCCCTATAATATCTGTATTGGATCAGGGCAAGAGATAACTACCTTGAAAAGTTTCCAGGCTCTCCTTTAAGAATGTTCTTACCTCTCCCACAGCCTAGCAGTCAAAACAGTTGATGGAAATATTGCACGGACTAGGTGACAAGATTTTGAATGCATAAGAGTGTCTATCTCAAAGTATTTTCTACATCTGTGAAAGAAAAAAGACAATGGACCACTGCAAAGAGGTGTCGGGTTGAGCGCTCACACTCGGGAAATACTCTTGCAACTCATAGAAGCAGGCCAGTTCCTTCCCAGCATTCGCATGCTCACAGGGTTTGATAACTAGGCAGGAACAGACCACACTATGATAAGCCCCTCCATAAACGTACTACAGCATCAAGATGGTACAGTTCAATGATAAAAGGCTATGAGCTTTTACAGGTTCAAAGGAGAGATGATGTGGTTTACACAGAAACAACAAGGGAACCAGAGCTTTGAAACATAAGATCAACATAAAAATCCCACTGTTGTGTTTGGGAATGGAAAGGGTTAAAAAAAAAAAGGGTGAGCTATAGTCTTTCAACTGAGGACCTATGTGAGAAAACACCACCTCCTCAGAAGCAAGGCAGGGAGCAAAAGCAGAAGGGAAACAGAGCCTGAAGGACCACCCTTACTGACCCAGCCAGAGACAAGCAGACAGCAGCTGACTACTGAGTGCTGTGAGGCTGCGTGCCTGGAGACGGGAAAGGGAAGCAGGCTTTTCCCAAGGTAACACACTCTAGGGAGCATTCAAATCAGCGATGTTCAAATCACAACGAAAAGCACTTGAGGACTAGGCTCTCTTCCCAGAATTCGGCATTAGAAAGTGAGACTGAGCTGGGAAACTGCCCCAGTCCCATGGGTAGACATTTCAGTTACGAGCTCCTAGTGAAGCTGCCACCCACTTCTTGCACATCTAATTAGGAGCTGGTCGAGTCTCTCCTGGGAGCACGCTCAGAGGCTTTGTTCTTTAGACCTGAGTCCTGGGTCAGTCACAAGAAAGAGGCACAGACAGTGATTTATTATTTCCGGACAGAAAGTTGGTTCTACTCTCATAATTTTTCCTTTCATTATTTTAATGGTCTGGCTTTGGAGTCCCAGAGAAATATGAGGTTAATATCTGGGGAGCCCTGCCGATTTTATTTAAAGTGTATCCAGGAGCAAGAATGTATTGGTAATGTTTGAGTCACTTCGCTGCAATGAGCTTTAAATGAGATGTTCGCTATCAGCAATGTCACATGGGAAACTGGGGAAAAAAAGAGCCATTAGGTTCCAGCTGGTTGACTGGACAACAGCCATAAGACCAAGGAAGCACACTGGATACATTTCAACATTACTGGTCAACTAGAAACCCCAGCAGCAGGAACCTTTTGAAACTGGCCTCGAGTTCATGCCAAATCAGGGATAAATTAATATACGTTTTGGGTTCTAAATGAGATTATTACTATCTAACTTTATTTTCCTGCCAAGCTTACATTCAGCTTCGCTCAAGAAAAAAATAAGTCTGCAGCAAATTACTCCTGAGTTTTACTCCCTTGCTTTTCCACAGTTATGTTATGGAGAGGTCTAATCGAAACCTAGTCTAAACCTTCAGAAGAATCTGGAAGGAATGGAACAAAGGTAGAGCCTTTATTCTGCCAGAGCTTTGGAAATTTCATCTGTTGTGATTGCACTCTGAAATATAAAATAATGGCTATCACCTGTGACCTCAATAGCAAAGTATCCTGAAATCAGTTTCCAGTTATTCATAAAGAATCCTTCAAACCTGACATTTCATGAAAATTCAGCAGAGTGTTCCCAAAGTCTTGCCTAACATCATGGGACAGGTCCAGGGCTGATAGAGCTCAGAACTGAGTTCCCAAATCTCATTTTAACTGTCTCTTCAGTTCTTATTATGTCTAAATCTTTCAATACAAAATAAAAAGTGAGCAATATCAAATCAAAAGATGGATTCCTTAAATGAACAGAGAGAAAACAAGACTTTTCATTTAATCAATTTATTATGATCCCAGGAATTCCAGAGCAGGGTATAAAAAATCTGTAAGTATTACAGTACATGGGTCATGGAAGCAAAGAAAGTTGTAACAGAAAAGAAATCATCAACTACTGATGAGCATTTCAAAGAAGAACGTTTGCTCATAAACACGTTAACCTTGTAGAACAAGAAGCACAAAGACCCTGTGTTCATATTGGTCCAAATTATTTAAATCACTCAGGAAATAAAGGCTTTGAGCCAATGTCGTCCTCCGGGACCGAGCATTGCGGCACCGGTAGTAGATGTGAATACAGTGAAAAGCAAAGCAGTGGCTTTCCGTGCAAAAGGAGACCTTGCAAAAATGTTGTCTTTTAGTTCCTTACACTGAGCTACAGACGGTGAGAGAGTGAATCGGAGGCAAATCAGAGCTGATCAGTTAAGCCTGTAATTCATCATCACAAATGCTAATGCAAATGGCTCAAGTCCAAATTTATACACCCATATAGAGTAACTAAGTTGTCAGTGATTCCCTAGAGTTTAGCCTGCTCGTGCTGGAGCACAGAGCAGTTAGGAGGACATCACAAGTGACTTCCTGAGGTCCTTGTCAACTCTCGGGTTGCTGTATCTGTAAGAAATTTGCCTGGCACACACTTTGAAATACGCTGTGGGTGAGGATCTGGGTGAGGAGGTGGGTCTCGGTGCTCGCTGCATCGTCATCGCCCACGAAACAGCCGGCGCTGCGTGCTGTGCCCTGACGGCTTGCTGCCGTCCCACGGCACGGCGGGCTCTGCTTTGGCCGCTGCTCCTGAAGCCAGTCCAGCTCTTCCTCCATGCACCAACTTGCATGTTCCCGTGGCCAGAAAGGGGATTAGTTTTCTTTTGTCTGCCCTGGCTTCAGTTCATGGTATTTGTGTATTAGTGACGCCAGGACAGCGGTGCTTTCAGTGCGTGTTTATTCCCGTACCAAACACAAGTGACTACCGAAGTCCTTCCCGCATTTCATTCTGCAGCAGAACTTGCAGTGACTTCAAAGCTGCAGAAACACAGCTGTATTCTTCCGCATGGAAGGAAAGAAACTACTCACAAATAAGGGATCAGCTTACCAAAAAGGGCACTATGAGGCTGTTAACCTTTGAGAAGCAGAACACTCTCCCCTTTCCCTGGAGAACTTTCTGAAGATCTGAGTATATTCGTTTGTTTTACCATTTCCTTCCTGACTGATTAAAATCAAATACCTTCTGGTCTATGTAAGGCAGCTTTCGATCACTGCCACTTAAGTTTTGCTGTTCAATAAAGAACCTTCAGCATTTTTTATGATTTCCTTGCTATCAGCACTAAAAGAAAAAATGAATTTAGTGAATATACTGACTGATGTTTTGGTCTATTTGGATACATGTATGAGACATGCAGAGGCACATTGGCAGGAAGCACGGGGGGAAACGAGCTATTAAGATGTCCAAGAGCATGCATTTTTCATTTGTAATCTATCATCCAAGATACGTTTACTTTGGAATTGCCAGGTACCACGCTACATTATGTACTTGAAAGCACTGAAGATAAGGAAAGAAGGCCATTGACAACATATGCTTTGGATAAAAGCAGCTATAAAAATAAAGGTAATGACCATAACAGGGACGAGACAAGCATGGACAGTAACAAATTGGGAATGACCAGAAAGTTCATGAGTAGTCAAGCTACAGGAAACTGTGCGGTCAGCCTTGGGGAGTGAAATCCAAACCTTTTTTTTTTTTCTTTTTCATACTGCTCATTTTATTTTTACTATGTGTTAACACACTGTATTTCCCATTCCTACTCTACGCAGTCTATTTTCTTTCTAATAGATTGCTGTAATTACTCTTTACGACCTGAGCACTGAGCCAGTTTAAGGATGCACCTATTAAGAACCATGAATGATGAAGTCAGATGTTTCTTTGATGGAATTTTAATTTTCTGTGTAAAGTGTACAAAGTTCCGTTTTTCTGAGCTCGCGGAGAATCAAACA